GCACCACACCTGCTGGAGTCGGGGTTCTGGGTCAGAGCCTCGTACGCCTGGCTGTTGTGGCCAAGGTCCAGGTGGTGCTTGAATACGCGGGTCAGCAGGGCCGCCTGTAAGGGGGGAAAAAAACGACCCAGTGATTTCAACATTTCAGTGAACAAGCATTACTGGCACAAACAGGGTGCCACTCTCCTTTCATGTAAAAATAGCACAGCCAATGCAAGGACTGGAGAATCAACAGCTGCCGAGACGACGAACAAGTGCATTTCAACAAATCTAGAAAGACTGATCTGAAACGGAACTTCAGAAACAAACATGTGAAACGTGGTCACTCTGCGCTCCAGAAATATTCGGCCGTTTGTGCACCTCGAACGACGGGTACCCTAAGCAAGATACCAGTTACCTGGCTCCGGACGTCGTGGATGGCCTCGGAGACGGCCACCGTCGCCAACCGGATGACCAGCTCGGGCAGGCCCACGTCCTCCAGCAGCCTCAGCACCTGAGCGGCACAGAGAGGCGATGAGACTCGAGCTTGGCCGCTCTCCAGAGCGAGACCCCCACGCCCCACCGCCGGACAGCAGGGTTCCCCCGCCTGCGGCCGGGAACACCAGGGGCTGGGGAGACGGAACCGCGCAGTTGACCGAGGAATAGGGAGAAGACCGCGCAGGATCCGGAAAGATACCGGATCCAGAACGTTCCGTTCCCCTTTCAGAACCGTGAGGTGGCCACAAGTTCTCGAACGAGCTCCGCTCAGCCCCTGTCACTCGTACACGTTCCAGCGTTCAAAACACTAACTAGTCCCTTCTTGTTCCCTATTGTTAACACGCTAATTAATTCCTGCTGATTGACCTTCTTCCTTGGAAGCCAATCAGGACATTCGAAGTCCACTGGCACTGGTAACCAGAAGAGGCGCTGCCTCACGAATGAAGTGAGGAGACCCTCCAAGCTGGAGCCCAGAGGTTCCGTGTCCAGCGGTTGAGTTGTCGGACCGGCCCGGTGGCGGTGGCGACGGCGGGTCAGGACCTTCCTCGCGGTACCTTGTTGTAGTACTGCAGCCGCGGGGCAGCGGCCACCTCCTCCTCCTCGGAGCTGGAGAGCCTGATCAGGAAATCCTCCTTCTCCACCTCCGTCACGGCCGCCTGGAAGCACTGCAGAGCCTAAAAAGACAAGCATTTCCAACCGAGCGTTCCTCCCGCTCGGCAACAGGCCTGCAGGCAGCAGTGTAGCCCAGTCCCACCCCAGGGGTCAAGGAAAGGTCCTCTACCGACAGGCTGGGGGCACTGAGCTTTTATAGCCCTGGGCAGAGTAGACTGCGAGGGGACCTCACACAAGTATCCAAAATCCCCAGAGGCATGGACGAATTCTTCCCCACCTGTTTCTTCCAAACGAACAGTGAAACATGAGCCAGTGGGACTCTATGGGAAATGCATTTAGAGGGGAACTGTGGTCCCAATTCTTCAGACCCGTTGTTAAATCTCGATAAGATACATTGACGGTATCCCCAATTTTTTTTACAAAATCTGAATTAAGCACAGAATCGTGAACCTGGTGAAAATAATGGGATAGTCGCCATTGCTGTCGCAAGCCCCTGGTCTTGTCACGGATGAGAGCGACAATTAGCCCTTCCTGGTCACTAGTCACCCCAATGACAAACATAAGTACAGGCTGTGCAGCAGACAGGTCACTGCTGAAATGTTCCAACGTGATCTGCATGCAGAATTAACGAGTCATATCTGTCGGCAAAACCGTCTCGAAGTCGAGAGCACTAATCCTATTGGACTAAAAGAGACGTATTCACAAGCCTATTCATTTACAATTAACAGGGTTGCTTCAAGTCACCGGAAATCTTGTTCTGAACCAGAGAATATGGCGCTGAGCAAACCTAGAAATGTTGTCTATTTTGCGATATAAATTGGAGGTTTTACATGTTACTGTGCACATTTTACTCTCATTGTGGTTTGAAATGCACTCATCCATGCAGATTCTTTTTACCCCTAAAATATAAAAATAGCATTGCAGTTCCCCTTTACAGTGGAGACCAGGAGGTACTTCTTTACCCAAAGGGCTGTAGGAGTCTGGATCTACAAACAAGCTACTCAAGTATGTTGTAGCCGATACTCTGGTTTCTTTCAACTAGGGCTGGATGAGATCCTGGAATAAGTCAGTTCCCAGCTACTAAATGGTGACAGAATACAGAATGGCCTCTTCATAACTGTAATTCTTTTAGAGAATAATTGTTATTATTTTAGAGCCTAGATGCCCACTTTGATGCACAACTTAAATGCCTGCATCCCAGGAAAACATCCTTGTTTCCCGCCACATGGCACGAACAGGAATAGTCAAGTCCTTAAAAATTACCTTGTGTCCTTCCCCCGTGGCCAGATAGCACTGTCCCAGCACAAACTGGCAGGATCCAACATTCACCTGACACCAGGGACTGATCAGTCGGGCATAATCCTGCAGTTAAAGGGAGGTAGAGGTTCTCTGGTACATGACACAATCGGTGTTCAATACAGCCGTCATAAGATGAGAAATAAAATGAGCAATTTTAATTCAACAAGACCCTTCTTGTCCAAAGTGGAGTATTTGTGAACTTCAGTTTCTGGCGGATGTCTTTACCTGCAGCTGGGTGTACTGGCAGTTTCCCATCAGGCACTCTGGGAAGAGAAATCCCGGATTGCTCGGCCATCTAGAGTGGCAAGATAAGGAACAACTGCCCGCTACTTTTACAAGCAAGCCTGCATGACACGTTACTTTTCATTCGATACACTCACAATTTAATACATTTATATTTAGAGCCAGCAGCCATATCACCCCACAACAGCCTGGCCTCACCTGGATGGGAGACCTCCTGGGAAAATCTGAAGTTGCTGCTGGAAGAGGTGTTTGTTGGGCCAATAGGGGGCGCTCACCCTGCGGTCTGTGTGGGTTCTGACTCTGTGGTCATTAAAAACTCCAGGGTGTTTTTTTTAAAAGAGTAGGGGTGTTACTCTGGCGTCCTGAACAAATTTCCCCCTGGCCTCTACCAGTCATGGCCTCCTAATAATCCCCATCTCTGAACTGGCTTCATCACTCTGCTCTCCTCTCCACTGAGAGCTGATGTGTGGGGAGCGGACTGGTGCATCATCCAGGTGGAGCTGCACATTGGTGGTGGTGGAGGGGATCCCCCATTACCTGTAAAGCGCTTTGAGTGGAGTGTCCAGAAAAGCGCTATTCAAGTGTACAGAAATATTATTATTAATTAATTTCTAATAAGACAAATCTGTCCGCTAGTAAACATCTCCACTTACAGATGCAGCACTCTCCTGACCCAAAGATGAGGTTTCACAACTCTGATCTAACGCAAATCTAAAACTAAAGCAGAACTGCAAGCAACTGCCAGTATGCTTTAGTATTCTGTTTCATTCGTGAATCAACACACTTTTCATTGGCTCCATCTACTGTAAATGACCCTTCCTGTCCTGCAGCAAGGATACAGGTGCTGGGAGAGGGAGGTGATGACAGCAGGGACCAGCTGGGTCCAGCTCAGGACAGCCTGGCTCAGAGGAGCGACCTGCTGAGCGTAGATCTGAGACACGATGGCCTTCCTGCCCACGTTCTGGTAGAACAGCTCGGCCACAGTCTGGGGACTCAGCACTGGGGGGAGAAGACCAAACACCAGGGCGAATGTCTGATTATCAGCACCCAGAATGGGGGAAAAAAATGCCATGCTGAAAAAAAAAGTTACGAATCTGCACTTTTCTGCATGGAGTGCGAAATAAAGTGTATTAACACCTGGAAAAAAACAAAAAGCATTTGGAGATTTAGTAGGAATTATCTATTGGAAATAATGTCGAATTTACAGTCATTTTTTGGGTGCTATATTAACTATGTTTTTCTCTGATATTTTTCAATATTTAGCCTTCACTAGAAGCACTATACAAACGAGGCAGGATTTTTCAAACTCTACATTAGCAGTCTATTTTATGTCTCTTTCACAACCCCTTACTTGAAGCAAAAACTAAGGAAATTGAGAGGGAAAAAAGGACATGCATCAGGAAAAATCCTCGGAAAAACACGGAGAACTTCAGAAGGAGCCCCAGGCCGGACTCGAACCCGGGACCCGCTGCATGACCGTGCTCCACGACTAAAACCGTCACCTGATTTATTGGGAGCCAGGGCAGGGGAGTCAGACAGCTCCAGGACCGACAGGTGCTGCAGGTTAGCATCTCTGAGGAGCGGAAGAAAATCTGCAGTCAACGCCTACACACCCTATGAGTGTCATCACACTGAAAACATTGGGTTTTTAATATTAAACATTCGCACATATATAATTTAACACATCTCAGTGTTTGTGAAACGGTTACATAAGTCTGGGAAAGCCAATGCACTTCAGTCATTCCAGAAAGCTGTTTTTCAATGTGAGAATTAGCCATGTAGCTAATGTAGCTCACTTACAATGGTGAAGAAGAACCCATTTATATAGCAGGGCACTTACTGGAACTATCTGATTGAAAGTCCTCTCATCAAGAGCCCATTGTCCTAAACACTACTCTGCTCTAAGAGATAAACGTTTAACAGTATCTCACACAGGTGCATAACAGTGCACATTGTTGGACTATTTCTTTCTAGATGTGGATGTGGTCATCCAGAACGGATGATTCAGATTAAAGCAAAAAACCAAACTGAGCTTCAATATCCAGTCCGACTGGACACAGGGCTCTGGAGCCGGCTCGCGGTGTACTCACAGCGTGTCCAGGGGCACCGGCGTGGACAGGCACTGCCCAGCCCACCTGATCAGGTAGTAGGAGCAGAGCAGGTGAGCCGTCCGGGGGATCAGGTCCTGCTGCAGCTGCAGGAGCTGCCCTCTCACGCCCAGGTACGCCTGGAGCACAGACAGGGGTCACAAGGGGGTCACGGGCCGCTTCCTCTCCGGGCTGACCGCTCACCAAGGTCAGCGTGGGTCCGAACCCAAGTTCTTTGACTGCGTGCTTGTCAAAGAAAGTGTTTCTGTGCTGCACACTTCTACTGTCACTCTTTGCCAGCTGAGCCCGGCCCCCCTGTCTCACTGCATTTATTACAGAAATTAAATTAAACAGTAGAAAGAACTTACAGGTTCAGATAAGGCAATCTAGTCTAGTCAATTTTACTGCCATTCTAAGAAATACATTTTATAAATATATGTTTTTTTAATCGGGGTGGGCATTTGACTAGGATATGTGTTGCTTTCTCCAGGCCAGCAGCCATATCACTGGCCAGCAGCCATATCACCCTGCAACTCACAACTGGCAGCCCACTGAAGCCCAGCAGGTGTGAGCCTGGTCAGTACCCTGGTGGGAGACCTCCTGGGAAAAAACGTCGTTTTTTCCCAGGAGGTCCAACTTTACAACCTTAAAACTAAGGCTGCTGCTGGAAGAGGTGTTAGTGGGGCCAGCAGGGGGTGCTCACCCTGCAGTCCCTGTGGGTCCTAATGCCCCAGTATGGCGACGGGGACACCATTAATCATGAGCACCGGCGGGGCGCAAGACGAGGGCTGGGAGCGGCTCGGGGAGGTGTGGGGGTGTCGGCTCGCGCTCGCGAGAGAGAGAGAGAGAGAACGAGAGAGAGCGCGGTGTCCCACTCACGTTGTCCCCCAGGCGCACGTAGAGCTGCAGCAGCACGAGCAGGTCCCGGCAGAGGAGCAGGCGGGCAGCGGCGCTCTGACACGCGGCCTGGCACACCAGGGTCACGGCCAGGCCGCTGCCCAGGAGCTGGGACAGACTCACGCGCACGCCGAGGGGCTGGGCTGCGGAGCGGAAGAGACGAGGCGTGAAGGGAGGAGACCCGCTCCTCCGTGCTCCTCAGGCAATGGTGCCCCAAAGCCCGCGGAGGGGAATTTCATCCTCGTCACGAAAACAGAACATCGAGCTTCCACCTGCGTTT